GTAACTTTTTTTATATAAAAGTATATAATATTTTCAATGAATTTATATAATATATAAAATATTTGTATTGTAGATATTTTACATGGTTCCAAGAAGATGATAAATGGGAAACCATGAATAAAACTGAATTTCCCGAGGAATATCTACCTGTTATAAATAATACGATGGCGAAAGAACCTTGTATTCATAAATCGCTCTTAAAGATATGGCATAAAGACGGTAGAAATATTGATAAATTAACAAAAACCAGAATATTGGATGATGTTACTGCGACTCTGCAAAATACGTGAGTTATTGGAATTATACACAGCAAAATCAATGAATTGTTCAAATAAAATATAAAATACAAAGCGTATTATAAATATAATTACAGCGTATTATAAATTGTAAAAAGACACAGTTTTTATTTTTAAATGTGTGAAATACGTTTATTTTTCGAGAAGTTAGTTTGGTACAGATATATTTCTATATTGATTTAATTATACTTACACTTATTTTATTCTTTTTTTAAATTTCGATGGAATACATGCGTGATCACAACACAATATGGTTTTATATTTCTTTTTGTATATATCTTTTTCCCTCTTAATTTATTCGCAGAAATACCAAGGACATATTATCTGATGTTGCGCCGTTACTAAGTGGTGTTGAATATGATCAAAACGGGAGAGTAAAGAGCGCGAATGCGACAATTCTATATTGGTTGCTGAAGAAGTCTAATCCGCAGTCACCGGAATGGGAGGTCGAATTTATCGAGAGAATATTGCATTCGAATCGTACCCTGCCGCCAGGTATGGAGATCTACGCGGTGACGCTACGTAGCTACCAAGACATGTTGCACGAAATAGTAAACAGTAATATAATCGTGTTATTCTGCGGCATGTCACTGATCACATTCTACGTAATTATGATGATTGGTCGGTGCAACGCGATGCAGCAACGAATATATTTATCCCTCATGGGTATCTCCGTGGTTGGCCAGGCTATCTTGTCGGCTTATGGGATATGCTACTATATGGGATATTTCTACGGTTCAGTGCATCCGATCTTGCCATTTTTGCTACTTGGTATCGGCGTCGACGATATGTTCATCATCATGCAAAATCTTGAAACTATGTCAGAGATGGACAAGTCCTTAGACATCCCCTCCCGTATAGCAAAGTCTATTCAAGTTTCAGGTATGATAAAATCTTGTTTATTGTCTTTGACGTCAAAGAGACTAATTTATGCTATGCTTCTCGTGTTCATAAATGCATTTTGGATTTATTTCAGAAATATATATATATTGAGAGATATGTAGACGAATTAAAAATAAGAATATACGATACGTGTGAAGACACTATATTAATAGAATCGTCGAAATAAATGCTTTTGAGACAATTTATATATATATATATA